AGGCCACTTCGTGAACAAGGTGGACTGATCTGATAGCCATCGAAAATTTGGAGGTTAGTATCCTTATCCTTCCAAGTGGTCACTGATGAAAGAATTCACTAGTAACAATTTTATTTCCATAATCAATGGGAAAACAATGAATTTTCAAAAGCTCTAAATATTTCATGGAGGCATGAGGTTACGTAGCTCATGAAAACACGTATTCATGACAATTAATTATTGCAAGTTTTACATTTTGTTTTATAAACTTTAATGTTCATATAGATATCAGATGTCTAAGTAGGATATGTAAAAAGAATATTTTGCGTATGGACAAAAGAAATGCTTAATAAACTCTAATGTTCATGTAGATATCAAGTGTCTAAGTAGGATATGTAAAAAGAATATTTTGAGTATGAACAAAAGAAATGGTTGGTAAAGACAGCTTATCGCCAGCAGTTCTGTTGTCAGTTCTGTATCTGTGACTTCCCGACGACTCAAGTTGTGTCTCATCCTTCAGACAGGTAACTGCAGACTGTCTCGCCATGGACATCGCTAGGTCGTCCTCTCCCACGGGAATTCTGGGTAATTCCATCAATGTTTTCTTCCTGCAGGAATTCTTAATTGGAGGCAGTTTGGTTGCCATGCTAGACTGGAATGTTTTCTGGTCTTTGGTCATGTTTTCTGATGATGTGTTTTCATCTGCATCATCCTTAATATCATTTGGTGAGTCTTCTTTTGCTGTCCCACATGGAATGATGATCATAACTTTGGCACGCTTTGCTTCTTTCTTAACTGATTCCTGCTTATTTTGGAGACATTTTCGAACATCCTCGATATTTTCTAATGATTGTCCATTGTCAGGATACGACGGTTCAGTTCTATCCCTACGAATGCCAAATTTGCGATAATTTTGTCGTTTCTTTCTAGAACGTCGTGTAGTGCAGTCGGTGTCATTTTGATGTTCCAATATCTGTGTGGCATCCTCTGAAAGATGTTTTCCGATATCAACCCGACTGACAACGGTATGGTTTCCCCACGTATCATCATGCTTGTTGCTGTACCTTTTATATTTGAACTTGAAGTCTATTCTTTCAGGACACTTGCAGGTGGTGGGTAAAGCACCTGGAACAGGTGGGAGGTAGCAGACCTCGGGTGTGTTGCAGGGTGCAGTTGTTGCAGGTGCAGGTGTTGTATCATGTTTGTTGTATCGTCTATACTTGAATTTGAAGTCTGTTCTGTCAGGACACTTGCAGGTGGCATGTGAAGCACCTGGAACAGGTGGGAGGTAGCAGACCTCGGGTGTGTTGCAGGGTGCACTTGTTGCAGGTGCTGGTATGCTGTACTCAGAATCCTCTAATGAGGAAATCTTTGGTAGTCTTATTGCTATTTCATGCTGTAAACAATCGAAAATAAAATTGAACCATACAGTCATGCCATTACTGCTAGTATATCAATAGCCCAAAATCAGCCTGAAAATGTAATGAAATTCAAAGTGTTACAACTAGACGCCTTTGTGACATATGAAATGGTGTTTGAAGGTCATGGGCTCAAGGTTAAAATTGACTTAATTTGACTAAAATTGTCAACCTGTTATAGAATCAGCCACACGACAAAGCTTAGCTAAAACCTATAGTAATTGGCTCCCCCTTGAATGCTTCATTAAACATTTTAAGAAGGCATCTTACTCCAGGTAGCAATAGTAGCAAACACATCAAAAGTAGAGCAATATTTAGCAATTTAATCTTTATTCTAGCCTGATAACATGTTCTAATGTCTAAAAAGTAAACACAGTACTAGTACGTGGTGTTGCCCACCTTTCTGGCTTTTTCCAGGATCCTTGGTTGTAAAATGCTGTTACAAATCCAACGCTGGTGCCCCATGCCTATTGGACCAACTGCAACAAGAAAATCGTACCAGAAATGTAACAATTTCACACAGGAAACAGGAAATCCTTTTTTTAGACCATTACACAACACGTACGTGAGTGTTAGAAAAAATCAATCAATGCCACTACAAAGCTACAGCAACGCATTCACTGCAACCTGCCAACTACATTCAGAGTTCTCCCAGTCAATCCAAAACACTCTCAAGAACTGTGCTTACCTTGGTGAGTGGTGTACTTGTAAGCCCCCATGATGTAATGTTGGCACTTCTCCGCATCTATTAAAGCCCTCGCAAATGTTACATTTTGTTATTAGAAGCAGGGAGAAGTCAAAACCCACTGGGTAACTCAGTTACTACGTGTTTCTTTGCTGCATTGATGTGCGTGTGACCGCTGGTAAATATTTGCACCTGCTAACTTCTCCATGTTCCAACGCACACAGATAATGACGTACATGGTGCCAAATGTTTCACCTACCAAAGAGGCTTTCACACGCACTTAGTTCAAGGAAATGGACCCTGAAGGGCCCTTCTTTGGTGACCTATTGTCAAAGTGCAAAAACTGTAGCAAGGGCTCATTTAGGTCCCCTTTCCACTGAATGGTGATTTTTGAGCAACTAAAATAGCATTTATGTGACTGTTGATTTTATAATGGAAATATTAACCAGGATTAAAAATGACAAAAAACACACAAAACATGAAGAAATTGAGTTTGTTATGTATGAAATTTGTTAAGTGACCTGTAGAATATTTGGTCATTTAGTGGTCGCAGCATGTAGTGGAAAGAGGGTGTTAACAGTTGTTGAATACCTCTTACAAGGTATTTCTTTGTAGTAAGGTAGTAGGACAGATTTCACAAATTGTTTCCATATCTTAGTATTGAAAAGCTTGGCATTCCTCTTTACTTTTGCTTGCACAGGGAACCTTTTACAAATAGTCTGGGCTTACCCTAACAAACTTTTACATCAATTTTCAATAAACAGACTGTAAACTTCACAGACAAAATGTTTTTCTCATGAAGATTACAACAACAACAATAAATAAATAATTGCATACAACTTGTAGTTTAAAAGAATTGTTTATTTACTGCATGACAAGACTTAACATCCACAGTTACAAAATATATATGTTATATGACAGCTCCTTGATATATACGTATTACATATTGATAGAAGTCCTTAGCTAGTTATGTTGGACAAAAGTTTTAACATCCTGAGTTACATGTACATAATTAAATACTGTTAGGCCAGACCAATTTAATTTCTTGGTTTTTAGATTTTCCTTCTTAATTTTTTTTTTGGTTTGCAAAAAAAAATGCACATGTACCATTCAGGTTCTGAATCAACCCCAAAATGCTTACAGTTTGGCCACAACAGTCCTTGTCTACCTAGTTATTACAGTTTTTTTCCATTTATCAATGCAACTTCTCTGATAACAAGTTCAAATTTCATTGTTTGAATTGTAAACCAGCATGGTATGTTGACTTGTGGCTCCTATGGCTGCTAGCATTTGGGGCTATCACAGGATGCCTATAGCTTATAAGCTATATATATAGGCCTGTGTTTTTTTTCCGCCCGCCCACTTCATTGATTTTGTTAATACCCAATAACCAACTGATCAAATTGGTTTGGCCTATTATAGTACATGTTGATAAATGCTTTACCATATGTAAATAAATGCTTTACCATATACCTTAGCCCTATTTTCTTGTTAGTGACGTCTCTAGTTTCTGTGCACAAACCAGTCTGGCATAATGCTTACACTCAGTTGCACAGTTTCTGTAATACTTATTCTTATACTTTTGACACAACTGGCAAGTCCTGGAATAAAATTGGTCCTGAGTTGGTTAGAATCTACATTAAAATGTTGAGCATTGTAACTTTATTCATAGTGTACAATTTTCTATTTATGGCACTGTGTTACAATTTCTTGTACAAACAATTATATGCATAATAGCCATACTGTATACTGCACTGTTGTTGATACTGGTATTATTCAACCTGCTTTGATACATTTACCCACACTGGTAGAGCCAAAAATGTCTATAAAATGTTAAACGGACAATAGACCCTTTTTGGACATAAATTCCGGACATTTTTCTAACATTTCTAAGAATGTCTGAACAGGGGCTTTACATGGTCTTTTTGGGGAGGACTTGCTTGTTGTGTTTTCCATTGTTCATGAGGTGTCTGTCAGAATGTCTTTAGAAAAAAAGTGTGAAAACTGGCATGCATATGAAAAGCACTGCACAAAGCCAAGACAATTTATAGGGGAGGACACCATTAATTAATAGACAGATGCTAATATCTTTATAAGTGCTCATTGTGCTAAACAAAGGAATGTCTCCTAGGGGTGTCCCTACCTGACGTGTGAAGAGACTATGGATATAAAATGTCCACCTTGGGTTATTTCGATGTCGTTTTTCAGTAACTATGTCTACTTAATGTAGCCTGGGTACCATCCTACTTGTATGCCGGGGCTCCCACACTCGCATCTCTTAGGGAAGCGAGTATGGGAGCCCCGGCATACAAGTAGGATGGTACCCAGGCTATACTTAATGTTCTCCCGACTGGCCTTTGTTCAGCAATGTCTAAATCATGTCTATTGTCCGTTTAACATTTTATAGACATTTTTGGCTCTACCAGTGCCATTTGGCACCTCATCTGTACAATGTATTGGATAGGAGGTTCTCCAGCAGAGAAAAAGTTAATCTTGATTCTGTAAATATTGGATCATTGATTATGTACAACCTTTTAAAAAAAACATAGATCCATAGAATTACAGGAATTATGATACACATATCATTATTGACAAACCCGAAATCATAACCACCTGTTGCATCTTAGAATATTACACATACATATGCATACGTTATACCTCGGTACCCAATATACACAAATGTCTTAGTTTGTTGCTTATATGCATAATATATAATATATATGTCTCTAAATGCCTAAAAGTACCTTTTTGTATTAAATCAAATTTGTTAAAAATTAATCCAAAGAATATCATTTCAGTTAGTGTATTACCAGTATGATTGGCAGAATACCACATATTGAATCTTGTGGCCTAAAGTAAATACACTGGCATATTTTCAGCTCTGTGCTCTAAAAATTGTAGCTTCATGTTACCATCCTCAGATCTAGACTAAAATGAGACAGTTATTTCAAAAGTTGACCTTTGACCTTTACTTGTCCTGTGATTGGTCAGTGTTGAACTGTCCAGCAGCACCTTTGACCTCCTGGAATGTCTCCTTGCTGGGGACGATGAGCTCGATGTTGTAGTGGAGTTTCTTACTGGTGATCCAGCTGTAGGAGTTGTCAAACTTCACCACATCTGCATGGGTGAGGGAGTAAAATATACATTGTACTCAAATGCAATAGACCCATTCGACTTTCACGGATCGCATAAACTGCTTACGTCACAGGGGGGACATTTCGAAAGAACGTCGTTCTAGAATGCTGAAGTCGAACGCGGCTTGCGCTTGCGGTTTCCCCCCTGGCAGATCATTTTTTTTACTAAATGGTAGGTGTCTATTTTTTTTGTAAAATATGCGGAAATGACAGGAAAACAGGCACCAACTTTGTATAGTGGCATTCCGTACAACAATTTAACGTTATTTTGTTCTGTGACATATGCAGTTTATGCGATCCGTACAAAAGGAACTTTCGAAATGTCCCCCCTGTGACGTAGTTTCTATTCAAAATGTCCCCCCTGTGACGTAAGCAGTTCATGCGATCCGTGAAAGTCGAACGGGTCTATTCCTGGGAAGCAAAATAAAACTAGAAACTTTAAGGTAATGCTTGCAAAGAAAATGTATAATGTTTATCTTCAAATATGGTCTGCTCTGTTAATTCTTCCTCAAACACATTCGTATATATATTCGTGTATGGTCAGACAAGTTTAAATCCCTCCTGCTATAAAATTGCAACACGATGTAACCCAAGACTGGTTTACCATGGTGACAGACGTCTGGTTCAGGTCATTGACCTTACCAGTACTGGGTTTGGAGAACAATAATAATAATAAGAGGAAACTGAGCAAAAACAAAATGTTTTCCTTCTGTAAACATAAATATTGTCAATGAGGAAACCTGTCTGATATTGACATTTACTGCCATTTCTGAGCTCATTTTCATCATAATTTCATATTTAAAGTGTTTGAAGTAGCCCCAAAACAAGGTACTTGACCTATCTCTGCCTGTCAATCTTCCCTCGCCCATGTGCTCTCAACCTAGACTTTGTCTGGACAGACACACAAACCCACAGCTCAGCCACCCAAAACAATATTTTAATACGACATTAAACACCATTAAATGTACTCACATAATCCTGTTTCCGCACACAGCACTTCCCCTTCTGCCAAAACCTTATGACAGTTGTGTTTTTCAGGAGGCACCACTGCCTTTAACTCCTCCCCCTTCTGCCCAGGGTTTTTGCTCCTTTTCCTCATGTACACACCAAACTTGATGTCATGATGGTCTGACTTGAACTGCCATCTGCATACAATGTAGAATATCATGCATATTATACTGGGTGGCAACATATCAATTATTGTCTAAGGTGAATCAAATGCAGATAGTCACTTCAATAAAAATAAAAATAAATCTGAGATTTCTCACTTCTGGGAAGTATTTTGGGTTTTTATGACCTTCAAGTTCACCCCATTTCCCGTGTCTGACTTTTCTGCCAGTCAATATTTCTCCCATGTGCTGTCAAACTACTCTCAAAGTTCACCCCATTTCCTGTGTCTGATCTTCTGACCTGTCATTCTGTCTGTCAATCTTTCCACCTCCCCTACCACATGCTGTCAACCTACTCTTTCCAGACAGACACACAAAACAATATACTTCTATATTCAGAAGTAAAAAATAACAAACTTGTTTATAACTTTTGAGTTATCCTATGAACAGGTTCAGGTTGTAATGCTGGTGATACATGTAGGTACATGTACAAAATGTGCATACCTTATTACACAGTTGGGCACTAAGACATCATACTCCAAGGTAAGACAAGAGCCATTCTGGACTGTTGCTGTAGTCAGGTTTCCAGTCACTGCCGACTCATTAGACAAAGAGTAGTAGGACTTTGGGACGGTGCCTCCAAAGCATATCTGAAAACAAGGAATGTTTTACACACTGAGGGTTGACAATCGGCTATTCCGAGATCAGGGTGCGCCAATGGCATTGTGCATTGTTATGTCAATCTTACTCTGTATTTATCGCATTCTGTTGACATTTATCAAACTTGTTATACTAGTACAGTTATTTTCCAGACAATCAGGAAGAGATTTGGTGTTAAGATGTTTAAAACTTATGCTATGGCCAATTTCAGACCAGAAATTGGCATAAAATCTACGTTATGCTGTTGCACTTGAAAAATGCCAGTTTTTGAAATATGCTTTTAAGTAATTTGGGAACAAAAAAATGGAATGAAAAGATTTGCAATATGTTCAGACATGCTCAGTCTGATATGTTTTGCAAAAAATCTGATGATGATTGGAAATTTTTCTTTTCTGGAGCGCATTTATCAATATGTTGTACACGTTATGTAAAATTCATAAATTAAGACATTGCAATTAACTTATCTCCCTGTACTAAAAAGGATGGTGATAGAACTGGGCATTTTGCATGTTATGCAAGGTACATCCATATATGACACAAAACATGTGTTTTTATGTTGCTTGTCCTTTGGGTTAATATGGCTGATGGCTTACAGTTACCTGTCTTTTTTGTCCGAGAAAATGTGTAGTGTCCGTTGCTCGGTAATAACTTAAAATAGAAAAGCTGTGGGTGCATATGATTTCAGGTTTTGAAACAGCTGAAGATGCTGACTTAAAACACAGTAGCTATTTCAGTCTATTGCTGTAATTATATGAAATAATGTCAAAAAACCTCAAGGGTGTAGTGTCCGTTGCCATGTAGTGTCCGTTGCCAAGTATACCACATATAGGTACATTAATTACATTTTGTTGCAATCTTGAAGTAATTTTGTCATTTATGTTATTTCTGTAGCATTTTGTCAACCCCTAAATGACAGGTCTTGCAAGATTTGGTGTTCTTGTCATGTACTTGAGCTGCCAGATGTGGCCGGCAACGGACACTACAGCTTAGCTGTAGTGTCCGTTGCCGGCCACATTTGAAATGAGTGGGCTAAGTTTGGATACAGCACAACTTTTGAACTGAACGTCTCTATCCAAAAATTTTTAAAGTGCAATGTACGGCAACACCTCTAGTGCACTTTTCTGCACTGAAAGTAGAAAAATATAAAAACTTGAAAAATTGGCCCAAGTGCAACCCTTTGGCGCACCCTGATCTCGGAATAGCCGAATGGAAGTGGTATTTCTCTTTATCTCTGCTAAAGGTACAGAATACTGGAAGATAAATACTGTTTGTGAACAAAGTAACATAAGACCACTGCCATACAAAATATTACACATTTTCCAAATCTTTGCATCATTGATATCTTTAACTTTTGTAACTTTTGGTACCAAAAAACTTTAACATGACAGTCAATGATGCTTATTTGACCTTCAACCTACACCTTGACCTTCAACATGACCTTGACATTCAAGATGACAGCAAAGAAGTTTGACCTTCAACTTTGGGCACTAAGACATCATACTCCAAGGTAAGACAGGAGCTATTCTGAACTGTTACTGAGACGGAGTGTCCAGTCACTGATGTGAAAACATGACATATCAAATGAAAGAGTGGGAAGGGTAGGTAGCTGACCTTGGACCTACACTTGGGGTCACCATCAGGATCGGTAGCTGTGCCGCCCCAGTACGCCGGCAGGTAGTGAGCATCGATCTTCTGTAGTAACAACTCCTTCAGCACCTGGGGGAGTCACAGAGAAGATTATGTCAGTTTGTGTACAGCACAATAGATTAAATACACATGACATAGCGTTACATCCAGTCATCAACTTTTGTAGTGAGCAACTATTACAAAAATTCAATCAGTTTCTCTTTCAATTGGCCAGAATCGCAAATCAGGTACATGTGCAAGAAACTATGTCTGGTGCAAGGAATTACAATGAATACATCAATTACTTGTCACACTGTTTTTCTTATTTGAGTACATGTACTCTGTATTAGTGTTTCTGACATTCCCGGTTGGAGGTTGTGTCCTTGGGAAAGGCACTTTGCACATTTTTCCTCACTCAACCCAGGTGTAAAATTAGTACCTGACTTCAGTTGGGAAGATAAAAAACAGTGGAAGGAGAGCCTTCCAATACCGTGATCTTGACATAGTAGACAAAAAACACTGGGCCTGAAAAGGCTATCATGATCATGGGACCTTTACCTTATTATTAGTGTTCACAGTAAAACATTAAAAAAGACTTACTTCCACAAACGTAGAGTTTGCTCTTTGTGTCTTCACTCAGAAACGGTCTCACCAAGGAGTACAGGACAGGGAACACCCTTGGTGCTGAAAGATGGGTTGGTAATAAAAATGTGAAGTAGCTAGTCAGGGACAGGCCCAAGACATTTTGACAATCAAACAATAGGGAAAAATGTTCAACCTTCCATTCGAATATAATAATATTATCATATATCCCCTCCAGTGCCAAGCCCATCGTCTACTCAGACGGAAGGAGGCCGATGATGATGAGGATAACATTAATTTATTGCCTACCTCGAATAATCATAGCTGCCTTCAGAGTTTCTGGATAATTTTGCCTCAAAGATCTCAACAGCTAAAACAGAATGCAGAATTAAGGATGATTAATGTTTATTCAATAACATTTAATATGCCTTGATTTAATATGCCTTGTACATGAAAGACCTACATGTACATTGTACTGTACTTTGGCATTGCAAATACATGTATGGTGATATGGTGACTGCCAAAAGTATAACCAGAATCAGGCCAGAAGAATTGTCACAACTTTTTTTTTGGTTTATCGTTGGCAAGATAACAAGTGAACATAAAATCTTGTTTGAAGATGAAAATAATTGAATAGAAGTACACCGATGCCTACCTGGATGTCAATATCAATGGCTGTAAAACAAAGAAAAACAAATTAATAAAATGATAATTATGATATATGATCATGAAGTACTAAAAATAGAACCATATACTTTTAAACAAACTTCAAGTTAGAGTACTGATATGTGTCTGAACTGAACATAAATTTTACTGAGCATTAATATGATTAACACAATATGACAGAATACTGTTTTTAAATGTATGAGTTGTGTCAGTGATACTTTCAATGATTTACCTTGTGTGGACATATGTCTCATACCAAAGTTGTCCAAGTCGATTACCAGTGTGATACCCTCAACATGGCGACCCAGCTGCATAGATCACACAAACATGAAGGAAAAATAAATTGAATCTTGTTGAAGTTAAAGCATCATTTCGCTTTGGCTGAAGCTATTGACAGGATGTTCAATAAGAGATTTTTGTACTACTGACAAAATGTTCCTGACGATAAGAAATTTGTTTGCACTTTTTGACAAATGTTCCTTTCAATAAGACTATTAGCAGGAATAGTCAAGGACCAATCAGAAACCAGAGAATGCAACCAATCAGAACATACCTTACAGTCTTTGATCATTAGCATAATCTTGTGCTAACACCTCATTATACTCAGTCTGGTATTCCTCTTTTAGTATATCATACTTTGAAAGCATTCACAAGTGAGGACACCTTTTAGATATTAGTCACAATGAACATTTTTTTCACTGACCTTTTCTGATTGAGCCCTGAACTCTTCCCAGATCTCCTCCAGAATCAGAAGTTTAAACTTGATGATGTCAGAACACTGTACAGACTGGAGCATGCCCCTCACATCCAGCTGACCAAAGGGGTCGTAGAACACAGGACAGCCTTCTTTGTCCCAGCAAAACAGCCCTCCAGTGAAGTACTTAGTCAACACCTGGCAACAAAGTTTTGTATTTCGTCTTACTGAGTACTATTCAGCTTATGGCAATGTGGTAAAGGCTAACATCACATTTAGAGCACAACACAACAAAAAATTAAGGATTTCAAACAGTAGGACTGGTGTTTAATTTTAAAGTGATTTAAAAGGATGCATATCAACAGGACAGTCATACCTCTGGTACTTTAAATTCGTTCTTCAAGTTGTCAACATTCTGTCTTTTTCTGAATTCCTGATTCTGAAAACAAAATGTAATAAGTACATCATCAACATGTATTTCATGATAGTCTGTAAATATTTCTAATTAAAAATACTATATGAAAGCAGTGAAAACATTTTCCATACTTATGTTCTTCTTGATATATCAGATTAAAAGTTGATAACAAAATACAAATATCCATGTACTGAACATATAATAATTGTCAACATCCTAGATCGATGCAAATTACAGAAATGTTCCTACATTCTTCTTTAATTCTGTCTACATTTAGCGTTAACATTACCAGCGATCAGAACTTTTTATGAAACATAAGAACTTACCAATCTGAACATTTCCTCTGCCTTGACAAGGTTAAAACTTCTGGCTGAAAAGCAAATGATATCATAACATTTAGCATTAATCATAACAACAACATGGACCACAATAACAGTTTGTGAGCAAATGTAAGCATTTTAAGGGAAATGGCCTAACAGGAATTTTTTCAAAAATCTCCAGTGGGAATTATTCCCATGACATCCTTTAATTTAGTAGGCTGTTCATAATTATCACCTCGGAGCCATTTTAGGAGGAAGACGTCATCCATATGTGGCTGTAGAACATCCTTGATATTGTTCTTGAACTGGAGGGAAAAGAAACAATGTTACACGATGCAAATTGTTGTTTTACTAAACAAGAAAATCAACCATTGCTGACTCCGCTAGAAAATCACAACCTAGAAGCCTAGAAAAACCAACTGTGACACTGTTAAGATCTCAAGCCAAGACAAAACAGAACATTGAAGATTTCAGACGTCAGGAGAGTATTCAGTCTCAGCTTCCTGAATTCCCCCCCAAGCCGACCACTAATTCCTGCTGGCTCCCAGCCAGATTCTGACTTGAGACAGTGACCTTCACCCCAGTTCCATTTACCTTTAGACCTCCTGCCATTCTGCCTGTCAATCTCCCAACCACGTGCTGTCAACCTATTCTGCCCTGACCTGCTGACGATCCATCCAAAACAATACTTTCTACACATGCATTTGTACATGTACAAGCCTTATTTCAGTGATCTGCAATGTTTTGACTCAAACACAACCAGAAGTAGGTCATGCAAAACCCTTTTGTCTCTTGTAGATTTTTCCACAAAAAAATGGTTTATCAGGCAAATTTCTTGTCCATAAAAGGTCCAGGATTGTTCTATTTATGACAAAATCTATCTTACCTTTTCCAAGGCTTCATTTTGCTGTTGACTGAGATCTCCAACACGGCCGCTCATCTTGTTTCCCTGGTCTTAGTCTTCTTCCCACGAGATCTCTAAAACTGTCCACTGTTCTTTATCCACCGACACGTCGTGGGAGTTGAGTGAATTCATGTTTTGATTGCTTCCGTATGATCCATATTTGACATCATTTAGGGGTTATGACGCCATCATATTTAGCCAGAAATAGAAATCTCCATGGAGACACGCCTACTTCCGTGTTTCATAACCAAGCGGTACGTTTTGCGGCAATAATATGTCGTGAAATTTTTAGCCGGGAGTTCAACTCTTTGTTATATCTATTGTACAGCGTGTTTATTATTATCATACGCTTATTAAATCAGAAATTTTATGATTTTATATGGTAGAATCAACCGAATTTTCTACGCTAACGAAATCGTGATGTTTACGACATCTGCCGCACAACGTCATATTTCCCTTTATTCTTTGCGGCACAACAATGGCGGCGCCCATGTGAAAATTCCGGCCGGTGTAGGTATTTTTCTGGTTTGTGGAGTTTGCCTCGACGTATATGGTCTGATATGTTGATATGCATGAGACAAAGAGATACATGAGTTCCTAGACAAGATACGCCCCACACGTATGAAATATCGACGGCTTTTATGCAGTAAGACATCATGGTAGCCTTCGTGCGTTTGCCGGCAAATTTCAGGAAAACAAAAGTAACATTTTGTACTGCATATGCCACTCGATAAACACTGCCTAACTGGCATATCTTTTTGCAACTAGATATTTTTGCACTATAGATAGACAGTGCAAATTTGCGCCCTATTCTAATGGTCCTGTCAATAGTGCAATTTTTTTTGTCATTGACAGGGTCATCCTGTCAATAGCTTTTAGGCTAATTTTTCACGTGAAGTCAAACTGATTTGATACACCCTAGTTGAAACTGATTCCAAAACAGAAAGGACGTCAACAAATTGGGAGAGCCAGCGTGCAAAATACCAGGTTGCCCAGTTGCCCCGGGCAACCAAATTTTATTTGGGACAACCTATTTTTGAACCTAGGTAGCCCAGTGTGCTACCTGAATTTTAAGAATGCCCCCCTCCCCAAAATCATGCCCACTTGACTTGCACCACTGTATCCGGCAGATTCTTTTAATTATAATTTTAGGTATTAATGGCTATTACTATAGTATCAGTTAACTAAAGGCTGTTAGAAATATTGTCAAAGGTTTATGTATGTAACATTACTTAATTTGAGGAAAGTAGTAACTTATAGGTGGGGCAACCTAAAATTCTGATGGGCAACCTAATTTTTGGGGCAACCTGGTTCAAAAAAGTATGTTGTACACTGGAGACTGAATTACAGCACTTGAGTTAAGTCGTGACCGGAATTATTACAGGCGAGGCCTCCTCATCCCAAAGACAATAAAATATTAAATTCATTGTTATCACTCTTTTTCAGGTTAGAAACCTACACAACTCCAAACCATGTTACAAACAAGATGTGTGAGGTTTGTGAGAGCTGTTTCAAGGCATCCCCCATCTACAACTACCCGGGTCCTGTCTCATCATCATTGCAATAGAGACAACAGGAGAAACTGTCACAGTGGTAGAAGGTATGATGTCATCGTTGTTGGAGGAGGGCATGCTGGGACAGAAGCGGCAGCAGCGGCTGCCAGGATGGGAGCCAACACTCTCCTGGTCACTCACAAACTGGACACTATAGGTTAGTGTTAATGGTAGGATGGGAGCCAACACTCTCCTGGTCACTCACAAACTGGACACCATAGGTTAGTGTTAATGGTAGGATGGGAGCCAACACTCTCCTGGTCACTCACAAACTGGACACTATAGGTTAGTGTTAATGGTAGGATGGGAGCCAACACCCTCCTGGTCACTCACAAACTGGACACGATAGGTTAGTACAAATGGTCACACACAAACTGGACACAATAGGTTAGTAACTGTGTTAATCCCCGGTCACAACCCGCCGTACGTGCTTTTTGTCCGTACGTTTTTTTGGAGGCTACGTTTTTTCTGAAAACGTGGAGAAGGAGTGGCGTCGACGCAAGTCACTCGCACGGTTGCGCAAAGTGTAAGAGTGTGGTCTGCACGCCAAGTCTGGCCGTGAGCGGTTGCGTGCATCGCACGTTGCGCAAGTGGTAAGTGAGTTGTACGTGCTTACAATGCACGATCTCTGTGCGATTGCAACTTTACCGTAAGGAGGCCGTACTCACACGTGCTTCTTCCGCACGGCACGTACGGGGCACGCGCTTCGCTCGCACTCGCACGCACGGGTGGTGAATCCGCAGACCGCACGTAGAAAAAGTTTTACATGCACTTAAAGTTCTACGGCGTGTCTGCATGCCATACGGAGGCGGTACTCACCGTGCACGGATGCCCTACGTTTTCCCACGTTTTTGCACGAAGACAGCACGCAGAAGCATGTACGGTTGTGACCGTAGCTTTACACAATCTCTCACTGTCAGGGGCTGATTGGGCCTCCTCCCCAAGAGCCATACACCTCTAACTCAAGAGAACCATTCCCAATCCCAGAACTACCAATAGGAGCGCAGGGTTCTTTATCACTATGAAAATCAGTCCAATAGGAGCTCAGGATTCTCTGTCACCATAGAAATCATTATCACAGTCTCCAACACCACAATAACAGACAGTTCTCAGTCTGACAATAATTGGTCTATGTCCATGCATAAATTATGCACACGATTAAGATGTTCCCAATTCTCCTACTTTAATAGAGGTGTGGGCCACCAAGCTTCTAGGGGCATGACTAAGGGCCAGCTAGAACTTGTAGTAGTAGAAGAGTGCTCATTGGTAAAATTCATCACCTTCAAACCAACCAATCTGCATGCATTTATTTTAAGAGTACAAAATGTACATGGTACTCTGGTATTGCAGATGTGTATACAATTGTTGTCTGACTTAATAGGCCCTGTTTTCTAGTGAGTTTAAACCTCAGTGTCTGCCCTTCACCTCAGGTGAGATGTCATGTAACCCATCATTTGGAGGAGTTGGGAAGGGTCACCTAATGAAGGAGATAGATGCACTGGATGGAGTCTGTGCCAGGATTTGTGGTGAGTGGTAATCATCAATGCATAATATAGATCTTAGACCTTTATGTATTAACTAAGGATTTGTCTTATGTAGTGATGCATTTGGACTTGGATCCGGACTTGTAAGAATGTTTAGGATCAAGTAAAAAAAAACCATAAAAGTCAAGAACCGAGTCTAGACTTATTACCATAAAAGACCATTCCACATACCCCTTTTCTTAAATCCAAACCACCTAAAACCTTCCATAGATTGCAAAATCTTTGCTGCAAAATGAAGAAAACATTGCCATCGGGCATCGTCAAGTACCAGCCTCCATGTTATGTGGCCAAAGTTTCACCCAGACAACATTGCAAGGTTGCCAACATGCAATTTAAATTTGTATATGCCATGGGTTTAGGTCCGGACTTACAAGTCCGGACCTAAACTGGACCTGAACCTAAAATTGGGTTTAGGTATGCATCACTAGTCTTATGTGTGATAAGCCAGTTAACAATTTGAACTGTACATGCACAAGGCTAAAGATTAAGGCCCCCTACTGGTAACTTGTATGTAAACAGTTCTGGTCTAGATCATGCTTGATACCATGACCAGTTATATTTTGTTTATGACACAGGGGCCTTCAATTTTTTAGTTGAATGACATATTACCTACAATATGCATCACACTGCACACATTCAAACCACGAAAATGCTTTAACTTTGCTACCTTTCTGTGCTTTAACTGCCTTTTTGTGTTTACAGACAAGTCAGGGATTCAGTACAAAGTTCTGAACACGAGAAAAGGCCCTGCAGTATGGGTAAGCTATAAACACCTTCTATAGTACTTGTACTTGTAGTATTGTCTGTGAGTTTGTGTATCATGTAGTGAATATGTACTAGTAGTAATACGATTTGTAACTGTCATGAATTTGCAGTGGAGAAGTCACTGCAGGAATTTTTTTGAAAAGTGCAAAAGTTTTTGTATTTAGGCCACACACCAATTTAATTTGTTGGTTCTGAGATCTTTTCAGAAAAAATATGAAGTGACAGGGCAAAAAAAAAGTCTAGGCATCCTATTATACTTATAGCCCCAAATGCTTAGATAAGAGCCATTAAGTCAACACAAAAAGCTGGGTTAAAATTTAAACAATGAATTTTGAACTTTTAATCAAACCACTGCATTCCATAGATGGAAAAAGTCCAACAACTAGGAAGAAAAGGCCTTTTTCTCAACTGTTGGGGGCAAAATATGAGCATTTTTCACTTGATTCTGAACCAGAACCCTTTTTTTTGCAAACCAGAAAAAAAATGAAGAGGCGAATCCGAGAACCAACAAATTAAATTTATGTTGCCTTACAGTATGTTGAACAGTTTGTTTGCTAATCCCCAACCTACTTCTTTATTACAGGGTCCTAGAGCACAGATTGACCGTTCTCTGTATAAGGCACACCTGCAGGAGGAGCTGTTTAACAACACTCCTAACCTCACCTTCCTGGCCAGACCTGTGGAAGACTTGATCCTGACAAACAACAGTCAGTCTGACTCTGATGTCTGCAAACAAGTGGTGCAGGGGGTCAAGCTGGGTAAGGCTTGTAGTTATTAGATGACTTAAATAACTCACTTTGCTCATTTGAAGACAATCTAAGACAACTTGATTATGATATTTATTATGGTACCAGGGCTCGAAATTAATTTTGGGGAATAGGTGCGCTGGTGCACCCAACCTAAAAAATTGAGTGCACAAAAAAAATTGGGGTGCACCATATGAGATGAAATAAGTAGAATGTTAGGAAATGTTTGATTTCTACGAAAAGTACTTCTACAATGATTTTATTATTTTTCTGACACTTATACTATACATTTAACATATTATGTAAATGTATGAAAATATTTTGATGCACTGGTGTACCCATAGAAAAAAATTGGGTGCACAGCTCCAAATTTGGGTGCGCTAAGGTGCACATGCACACAGTATTTTGAGCCCTGGGTACTGACAGTGATTTTGCCCCAATAGTGCAGTTTGTGTTTTCAGTTTTTGTAATAGTTTGAAAGCTTATAAATGCAGATTTATTACAGTCCCATTATGGATACACCCTACTTTAATAACAGGCCTTTCTCTGTCCTTAGTGCTGAAAACGTAGTTTTATTAATACCAATATCTCTCCTTGGTGCTGAATGACATTCTCTATATGGATGAACTACATGTATGTGCACCTTGTCAAATCATTAATGGGATTTGTTCTCTCCACAGATGATGGACAGTGTATCCATGGCAACACTGTTGTCCTGACAACAGGCACGTTCCTGAGGGGTCAGATCAACATCGGTCTGGAGACCAGGCCGGCGGGCAGGGTGGGGGACGCTCCGGCCATCGGACTGGCCAGGTCACTGGAGGATGCTGGGTTCACTGTGGGCAGGCTCAAGACAGGTGGGAGTTAGGCTTAGACTATACCAAACTTCCATCACAATCAGCAGCTCAACCAATGATAGCTTGGCAATTAGTGGTTTGACCAATGAGAGAGTGGCATTCAAATATATACATTTTCATGTTTATATTTTGCTTACCATGTTCTCATGGGATTATCAGTATCCATGCTTTACAGGTACACCACCCAGGATCGATGGACGTACCATAGACTACACAGACCTGTCCCCACAGCCTGGGGATGATCCTCCACAGCCATTCTCATTCCTCAATGATGCTGTCTGGATCAAGGTACAAACCACACATTAGACATGTTTCATATATACATGTATTGTGGATAGGGTTGTTAACTTGACTGCAGTTTACCAGCTATATAGCTACCAGTATATGGGAAACAAGCCGCTGACACCACCAGTATGCCCTGAAGTCTTCATAAACAAATAGAGACTTTTTGAATACAGTGGTTTCTGAAAGTCAACATAGACTATCATAAGGCCATACCAATTTAATTTGTTGGTTCTCGGATCTTTTCAGAAAAAATATGAAGCGACAGGGCGAAAAAAAAATAAAAATAAAAACAGGTCTAGGCATCCTATTATAGGCTAAAATGCTACAAAATGAGCCATGAAGTCACAAAAGGCTGGGTTAAAATTTAAACATTGAATTTTGAACTTTTAATCAAACCACTGCAATGATAGATGGGAAAACTGTAACAACTAGGAACTAAGGACTTTCCTCAACTGTTGGGGGGCAAAATATGAGCATTTTTCAGTTGATTCAGGACCAGAATCAAAATTTTTTTTTTTGCAAATCAGAAAAAAACGAAGAGGCGAATCCGAGAACCAACAAATTAAATTGGTGTGGCCTAATGAAAATGTATGTTTCAATCCGAAGATGCTGATGCGAATTGATTACAATTTAGCAATTCAGTTGGTTAATTGTGTTTTCCAGCCAGAAGATCAGGTAATGTGCCATCTAACACATACCAACTCTACTGTGGACAAGATAATCCTGGATAATCTTCACCTGGATAGACATGTACAGGAGGAGACTACTGGACCAAGGTGTGTAGCATCAGGGATATACATGTATGATAGGACTTTTTGTGAAATATACATCTGTGTAATACTATACAGGTTTTGTTTTCTGTGTTGAACAGCTTTTGTCTGTTCCAATTGCAGATATTGTCCCTCCATAGAATCCAAGGTGTTGAGATTCCCCAAAAGGCCCCACCAAGTATGGCTGGAACCTGAAGGTATATAAATCTGTGCTTAAAGATTGAAAGTTCTGAAATTTAAGGCTTGCTGTCATAAACATCAGCATTACCTATTGCAGTTCTTTCATGAATTGCTAGATGGTGCTTCCAGTTCACGTGAAGAAATAAACTTATCATAGAAATTATTGTCTTTTTTATTGTACATACATGTACATGTATGTAGTTTGGCTACATTGTTAATAGATGAATGCTTGTTACTTTTCCTGTAATAAGAGAATGTTTGTGTAAAATTCAAATCATATTTTTATTAAGAATATAATATTGTGCTAAAAAATAAGGTTTATGAGAAAGAGAATCTATTTAATTTAGTTTCTTTCCACTCTTGGTCAACATACCTTTTACATGTAATTCCCTCCCCTTCTTACAGGCTTGGACACCCCTGTGGTTTATCCCAATGGTATCTCCTGCACCCTGCCAGAGGAGGTCCAGGTGGACATGGTCAGACAGATCAAAGGGTTGGAGAGGGCAGAGGTCATCAGGCCAGGTAAGGGTAATATTTCAGTCTTAATCACAATGTACAAAAACCCTTTGATCACTGTTTCTAAGCAGAACAAGGACTCAGGCATTTCAAAGCTACCGTTTCTATGAATATCTTGTTTCATTCATTTTATATTGTGAATTTCTCTGTTTACATCTAATATATGCATTTCCCACTGCCACCTAGACAACAGATTCGTACCAACTTTCTGCTGGCTCCCAGCCAGCTTCTGGGACCTTACTTCCTGTGTCTGACCTTTTGTGGTCTGTGGTTATAGAATTTCCCCCACCCACCATGCTACCTCCCAACTGTACAAGCAAACACAAACACACACACACACACAAACACACACACCCAAAACAATACCCCTATACACAGGGTTTTGAGACAAAAAGTTTATTATAGATTTCTTATGATTATATAATATCAAACTCCCTTTGTTAGGTTATGGAGTAGAGTATGATTACATGGACCCCCGACAGCTGAAGGCATCGTTAGAGACCCACAGGATACAGAACCTGTTCTTTGCTGGGCAGATTAACGGCACCACGGGGTACGAAGAAGCAGCAGCACAGGTATGGTACCCTTTTACTTAATTATTTCACACATATTTGATGATGAGCATTGTCTAAATTACAAGTAATCTTGAGATTTCAGACTTTTGAGAAGTATTTTGGGTTTTGTGACCTTGAAATTCCAATCTTATTACATCATGCACCCACACTATACAGTTTATTGGCCTGAAAATGGTCCAAAAGTCCCAAATTATACAATTTTAAAGAGGTGCATGCGGAAAGTTATGAATGACTTGTTGTTGATAGCTATATAAAGCACACTCATATTAAATTTCAGATTGTTTGGGTGTAATACCAGGTTCCCAGGACCCAAAATGTACAGATTTTGTTGAAAAATGACGGTCACCAAAAAAATGAAATAAAACAATTTCAATAGCCTGTATTAAAAAAAATGAAAAAAAAATACCTCGGGATATTTGTCCATTCTACGTCCATGTCAAATTTCAGGTCATTTAGGTAAAAAATGACAGAGTTGAATCAATTTTACCGAATGGCAGGAGGAGGAGGAGGAGAAACACCAGAGAACACAATATGTCTTCACCGTGAAGCCATAAATAGGAGTGTATGGCCACAAGCTTTTGGGGAGCCCTGACAGCAAATTAAAGATTTTCTATCACACCAATTGTTTGTGTGTATTTTACAGGGTCTGATAGCAGGTATCAATGCAGTGTTGAAGGTACAGAACAGACCAGCCTTCACTGTCAGCCGTACAGAAGGGTACATAGGAGTTCTCATAGACGACCTCACCACACAGGTATGCTATACCAGTAATACTGGAATTTTATTATTTTTTGTGGGAACTTCTGTTCTATTTCATGAATGAAGGAGAATGAGGGTTTTCACAGTGTTTTCAGTCCCCAGTTGAAACAATTCTGTAGTACTTATGAGCAAGATTTAACTGTGATTTCCAACACAAAAAAATTGGACTCACCCAAATTTTCGACTGTACAACTCCAGTCTTTGTCAAGGAATGAGCAATCCACCGCTTCCGTGACGTCACGCAGATAACACATGTGACTCCATGAGATGGAAATACATATTTGTTGTGTTAGATATGTGCAAGCACTTCCTGAATTCCTCCACATACCACCCAATTACATGTACTTCCACCAGGCATGTTCTGGGTTATCTTCAGGCTTGACCTCCCTGTCAATCAATTTAGCAAAATCTACCCACTTGCCCTGCAACCATCTCTGTTGGACAAGCATACACACAATTGCAAAGACAAACCCACCCAAAAACAATACTTCTGTACAAAGAGTTAAGGCCACTTCAATTTAATTTGTTGCTTCTCAGATTTTTTCAGAAAACATATCAAGCGACAGGGCGAAATAAAAAAAAAACAGGCCAAGGATCCGGAAATGTTACAATATGAGCCATGAAGTGAACATACCAGGCTGGTTTATAATTAAATAGATTTTGAACTTTTAATGAAGCAAAATGGCATTGTTACATTGAAAAACTGTAACAACTAGGAAGAAAAGGACTTTCTTCAACCGTTGGGGCCAAAATATGTCTTTCATTGAGCATTTTGCAGTTGATTCAGAACCAAAAAAAAAAATTTTGCAACATCAGAAAAAAATGGACAGGGCAAATCCAAGAAACAAGAAATTAAATTGGTGTGGCCTAATAACATGATTTGTACATTTTGTACAGGGTACCAACGAGCCCTACCGCATGTTCACCAGTAGAGCTGAGTTCAGACTGTCCCTGAGACCAGACAACGCTGACGAGAGACTGACAGAGAGAGGACACCAGGCAGGATGTGTCAGTCACTACAGATATCACAGATTCATCCACATCAAGCAATCACTAGACAACAGCTTGCAACTCTTAAAGTAAGTCTTGTGGCTTTACTGAGATAGCACGTCAGCAGAATGTACTGTGCCTGCAAAAAACCCTAACTGTCCTTCACAATGGACCATTCCAGATCGAACGCATCAAATCCTATTTCGAATCCCTGTTCTATTTCGAACACCTCCGTCAAACTCAGCGCGGGAAATCTAAAATCAGAAAACTGAGTTGATGTCTGCTTGATAAAAACTTACATGTGAAACTGAATTTGTGACATTGCATGCACTTTAAAGTTGATTAAAGACGTTCTGTTATTCTTCCATTTGTTCATAAGCTATCAATATTGTTTATGTCCGTGTTTGCATGCTTATTTTTCTACTTGTACCACAAATCCCTTTATAAGTTGCGCCCTCCCTCGTGAGTCCCCGTGAGTTTTTATTTCCCATTTCGTTTTTTTCCCGAGCTCGTATGCCGCTGTGATGCATGCAGCAAATGCCATGGAAAACCTGTTACAGATTAACGTACTCTGTTTGACACATGTATCGGCTGTTAGTCAGCAACCGGGCACTCTTGTCCACCTACCGTGTGATGTTATGCGGCCAATCCCACATCTGTATTGAGCGAAAACATTTTGCTCTCACTGAAACTACCTCTGTCCCCTCCTAAAATAATTCTACTCTGCGGATGTACCGTTCAACAAAATAAAGCTTAACCAATTTTTTCGTCTCCTGGGAGAGTTTTTCGCTGCCGAAAAATCGATCGTAAAGTTGGGCTGCAAATCCGACATTCTGGCGGCGGCAGTCGGTACGGCCCTTCCCGCACTGATTTTGACGGAGGTGTTCGAGTTGCTAGGGCGTTGCTAAGGGGGCGTGACTTATGGAACAGTCCATTAGCTATTCAACCATTGATAGCGTGGCAAGTAGCAGTTTGACCAATAAGAGTGCCTGCAAGTTTGTCAAATATTTGCATTTTTATTTTTTATTTCTTTTGCATTGCTACATTTTGACAATGGAATGGTCAGTCAGTGTCAAAGACTGGAATTACTGAAAACTTTTGAAGAAGTATATTTTTACACCAGTCCTATAGAAATCGATCCCCTTTCATATCATTTATGAGAGACACAGAGAAAGAAGAAACTTTAAAGGTTTATAGATAACACTGTGACATTCATTTTAAATCTCTACAGATCCTTCAGTCTATCACCAGCCAAGTGGAAGAGACAACTGAAGTATGACCTAATGAGTGAAGCAAAATCAGGGACTCAAAGGTGAGACAATTTTAACAAAATAACTAAGTCTGTCCTTTAGCCATGGATAACTGTTTACATATCCATTATACAGAGGTAACATTTGGAAAGAAAATGCATAATGTTTACCTTGAACGCATATGGTCAGCTCTGTTAATTCTTACTCAAACACATTCATATACATGTGTATATGGTCAGACAGGAGGCTAAATCCCTCCTGCCATAAAATTGCAACATGATGTACCCCAACACTAGTTACCATGGTGATAGACATCTGGTTCAGGTCATTGACCTTATTTGTTTAAAGAAGAAGAAGGGGAACAAACTGAGCAAAAACAATATGTTTTCCTTTGTTAAACATAATTACAATGAGTATGTTTTTTCTCATTTTGTCTTCCAGTGCCTTTGATCTGCTGAAGTATCCAGATATAACAATATCCAGACTGGGAGATGTTGTTCCAGAGTTGAGACACCTTGTACCAGACAAACAACTGTGCAATAGACTCAAGATAGAAGGTACAGTATGTCCAAAACTGTGCTCATAGACTAATAGTTTAATGATATCTCTTTTCATGCCCTTACACACCAATTTTTGTCCGTCAAAGATGACAAATTGGGCAAAATTTTGTCTGAAATGAGAGGCAAATTCTGTCAAATGAAAGAAAGACTGATACTGGCTGGAACGCTGATCAGAGATCATGGATGTCGACCCTTATACAAGTGTGGTACATCTCAACAGATAAGGCCACACCAATTTAATTTGTTGGTTCTCAGATTTGCCTCTTCATTTTTTTCTGATTTTGAAAAGAAAATTCTTGTTCTAAATCTCAATATGCTCATATTTTGCCCCCAACAGTTACAGAAATTCCTTTTCTTCCTAGATGTTACAATTTTTCCATCTATCAATGCAGTGGTTTGATTTTATGTTCAAAATTCATTGTTTAAATATTAAGTTAATATTTAAACAATGAATTTTGAACATAAAATCAAACCACTGCATTGATAGATGGAAAAATTGTAACATCTAGGAAGAAAAGGAAACCCAGCCTTTTGTGTTGACTTCATGGCTCCTATGGTAGCATTTGGGGCCATAATAATAGGATGCCTAGACCTGTTTTTATTTTAATTTTGTTTTTTTTGCCTTGTCACTTTGTATTTTCTCTGAAAAAATCCAAGAACCAAATTAAATTGGTGTGACCGCAGGAGAGGCAAAATTCTGTTAAATGAAAGAAAGACTGATGCTGACTAGAAAACTGATCAATGAGTGATCACGGATGTCAACCCTTCCACAAGTGTGGTAAATCTCATTGACAACAGATAATTATGACTAATAAGTGGTACATCTACTTGTTCCAGCGACGTACTCAGTGATGCTGAAGAAACAGTTTGAGGAGATACTGGAGGTGAGGAGGGACGAGGCCATGGCCCTGCCTGACAACCTGGACTACACCCGGTTACGGGTGTCAACTGAGGTCCTGGAGAAACTGGCCCTGACAAGACCACAGACAGTACGTAATACTTCTCATATTATATGTTTAAAGTTAAAACTTTTGGTCCAACACAAAAAATTCTCTCACCTAGAGCTTTCGACCAGTCACTCTGGTCTTTCTCAGTAGACTGACCCAGTGAAGCTTGTCACGTGACGGGGGCCGACATCGTCTACCAGATACCTTTGACCCAGTGTTGACGTCACACTTCAAATAAGCCACGTGACAAGCTTCACTGAGTCAGTGTGCTGAGGAAGACCAGAGTGACTGGTCGAAAGCTCTTAAGCTATAGGTGAGAGAATTTTTTGTGTTAAAGTTTAACTTTAAACATGTAACTACCAACGCAGATGAACTTTCATGATAGTTCTCGTATTATACTTAAATCATCTTTATCTCATATCTAGAACTGTTTTTTTTTAAACTCTGTGTACAGAGGTTTAATTTTCCGTGTGTCTTGTTTGTGAGCTTGCTTGTGTTTCTATTATAGTTATTTCTGCATGTGTACATGCCAGGCATGTTGGGGACACTGAAAGGAAGTTAGGTCAAAGGTCCCAGAAAGGGTATCTCATTTCTTCAATTCCTGCAATATGCCACTAAAGATTCACAATTATAATGAAATAGTGAAATTTAAAAAGAAATTTTCAAAACCTCAGATATAAGTTTTCTGAAATATACATATGATGTAAGGACAGTGAAGTAGGCAACCAATAAACCATTTTCTTGTAATAACCTACATAAATATGCAATTTTTCAGATTGGAGCTGCTAGCAGAATACCTGGTATCACACCGGCTGCCATGGTTCAACTACTTAGATATGTTAAGCATTTCAACAGACAGAAACACGGGTTGGAGACCCAAGAACTCAGTACAGCTTGACATACAGAATAATGACGAGGACTTGTGCAATACATGAAGATGTGGTGGTTGATAGTTGAATATACCTTTTATTAGCACTGTCACAGTGGTTATATCGGTAAATAATTTCATCAGGTTGGTAAACGAATGAATAGCAAGGTTCTTTGATCACACACACCCTTTTTTTATGAGCCAACGTTTCCATCTTCAACCGTCCGTCATCATCATCAGGGCAATTCTGACTGGTTTGACGAGCTAAAGTGCACTGTGAACCAAGTAACACCTTTAGTGCACTATGCACCAAGTAACATCTAGTGTCAGTGCACAGTAAACCAGTCAGAATTGCCCTGATGAAGATGACAGACGGTCATTGAAACGTCTGGCTCATAAAAATAAATGGTTGTGAGCTAAGAACCTTCCTATTCACTGTTGTTAAACATGTAGCTTTTTGTGACATGCTGATTTTATATTTATTTGTTGACGGCTATCCGTTGGCCTTTTACTTTAATTTTCGTTAAATCCTATGGGGTTGAAATTAAAAGTATATTGAGTATGATATCTTCCTCCTGATACGTAGATTTAGATATTTTTGTACAGTGCCACATGTACAGTATCATATTCTGGTAAATAGATTTCTCCATCATGTATAGTATTTTGTCACATTTATATACATAGCTACTTCTCCATCTTAAAAGGATAGGCCTACCAGATTTACTTAAAGAAAATGAACATGTGTAAAATAATGTTTCAGAGCATAAATATAAGAAGAAACTGGATACATAGAAGATTTCCATGGATCTTTTAATCACAAGTACTAAAACGATTGTCCACCATCATAAGAATAAACAAAACTTACTTTTACACACCATACTGGTAGTTATCTGCCATTAAATATTCTGATTGGTCCAACAAGTGGGCGATATCTTAAATAATACCCAGTAAGGTTATCATCAGCTCGCACTTATTCAACAATACCATTGCATACAAGAAAACCTGATTGTATGTGATTTCAATTTTCATCTTGTCAACGATCATGTACATAATTTGTTTACAAACACAGGGTCACAAGGATTCAGCACACACGTACATGTACACAGTCACATATATATCACTGCATATACTTAATGGGTGGACTTTTTAAATATCTTCCCACTTAAAATCTCATTTTGCAACTGCTCCTCCACAAGTATCACCTTGAAATAAATGCACAGGCAAAAGTACACATACCATACAATAACCCACTTCCTAATTGTTTTATACACCTAATACAGCTTTTATGACAGAACTGCACCCAAAAGTTATTAGACTAGATGTATAGGCATTCAGAGTCTGGAAAATACATTTTCTTAATAGCCTCTTTCCTCTAGAATAACAGTTACTATATATTTATTTTAACATTTTACAAGAGATATGTACGTTCTTAATACATTGTATGCTACATCACTGATACACAATGATTACACAATGATTGTTATAATTTAGGCCTTTCATTCTATTTAGAAACCAGTCCTGGCCTGAAGTTATCATAAATTTTTCAAAAGTCTCTTTTGGAGTTTTTAAGTGTAAGGCCATACTGGTTTGATTATATAGATGACATACTCTGGGCTCCTCAAAACTGATGCAACAAGAAAAAAACATTGGGCCAAGAAAATACTTACAAAATTATTGTGACAGAAATAAAGGCATTCTACCACATCTGCAATGTCATCCATATAATCAGGACACAACCCTCGACCCTGCCTCTGGACCAAGAGGTTGGGAGTTTGAATCCCGGCTGTGTTCACCCGACATGCAAGCTACTGGAAAGGGTCATAGTCCTTAGGACAGGACATTAAGGTGTGGTCCACTGCATGTGCTTGTTGAATAAGAGGAATTTCCCTGGTACAATGAACCTGTAAATACTGTACATAGCATCTGTCTTCTCTGTCACAACCAGTGGAAGAATAGCTATTCAGTGAGCTAAAATGGGATCAAAATCTTTCTCTAAATGGTTCCTACTCCTTTTTGAGTTGTTTTCTCTCTTCCACGTCCACATCAGCGATGGCACACATGGCTCCCTTCAGCTGCAGCCAGCTGCAGAAGGACTTGGCGATGGCAATGGGCAGGGACACGAAGAACAGCAGGTCAAACAGTCCCATGTCCAGGAATGGCAGCACTGGGGGGAACAAACGTACATAAGTAGAGACAACCTTTCATTCATAAAAAACCATATAACACGTGTACAGTACATCATTAAAATAACACAAAAACTCTACAGACATACAAATAAAACACGAAGAAACCTAGATGCATAATAAATTGTAAGTCTTTCAGAAGAATGAATTCCTAAAATTCATCAGATTGATTGTTGTGTTGTGGGAGGAAAGTAATCGTTTTAAGAAGGAGTAACAAATCCGTCAATGTAGTGATAGACAAACCACTTTCTACAATCACAGTCTTTTAAATTTATTCAGCCAACGTTTCTGTGACTGTCTGTCAACTCTGTCAAATTTTGACTTGTTCTCTGTAACTGCTTTTGTTTAATAACTGACCACTGTATACACATGCATCCAACTCCTGTACGTTTGGGACTGCATTGTTAAGATACATTTCCCTGTTATCACGCATATATGTGTAGATACAATGTATGCAAATACAATGTATTGTACATTTGGGAATGCATCTATACAGCGACACCTGTGCTGTAGTGCAATGTGAACCAGTCAGAATAGCCCTGATGAGGAAGGTGACAGACGGTCACCGAAACATCGACTGAACTAGAGTTCCCCGATCTCATACCTTCGCCAAATGATGTTAATCTTTATGACTGACAAATTATCGATTAGATTATTTCCCCCTGATTTAAGAAATAGGAACCTAATTTTCATGAATTATATCATTTTATCATAATCTCAACCAGAAAAACAGTCTTATATTAACAAACAATGCATTCTAGCATTACCTAATAAATTATGCAAATGAGGTCCTGATTTGAATAAATTATGTTTAATGGTGTTCACCTCAATCTAACTTTCAAATACCACAAGTATGAAATTCCAGGCAGTTACCATTAACGTTACATAATTATAAAATTTTCTCATTAATTATGCAAATTAGGTAATTATTAACATAATCAATATCTTCCTGTGTTTCTCTCGTTGTCAATCACCAATGTCACAAGCTTTAATTGTCCTATCATGGAATGCAGCTGATTTATAGAATTTCCCCATAAATTATGAAAATTATATCCATATTTGCATAATTGTCACATAATTATATGAAGGATCACGTAAGCTACCTACATACCAAAAATCTCGACGATCCGTCAACCGGTTCTTGAGTTATCCCCTTTTGAATATTTTCAAGAATATATCGCTGCAGTTCCAGAGCAAGCCGCTAGGGGGCCTAAACTCACATCACTTCTTCCCCAGCACAAGAGCTACCTACCATTTAAATTTCATCACCATAGCATGTCTAGATCATGAGATATCAAAACCGGAAGTTCAGCTGCAGTACCATAACAAGCCGCTAGGGGGTCCAAAATCTAATCATTTTAAGGTCTCATCAAGACCTTCCCACCTACCAAGTATCAAGACAATCCATCAAGGCCTTCTCAAGTTATCGTGTTGACAGACACACACACACACACACACACACACACATACACGAACGCCCCTGAAAACATAACCTTCTTGGCGAAGGTAATAAAAGACTTGGATGTGTAGAAAGAGTCTCTTTACTCATCAGTGACTTACCAACCTGATAAAACTATTCACAGACAAATGTACATAAATTTGTAGGGAAGGGGAGGTGTAATTTGACAGAATTTTGCCTCTCGTGACAAAGTGTTGCCCAATTCGTCATCTTTGGTGGACAAAAATCAGCATGTTCAGAATGATATGGAAAGAGCTGTCATTAAACTAAGCTTACATGCAGTCTGCTGGCAATATTTGCAATGGGGCCTACCAGGACCCAGGATTAGAACCCAGAATCTTCAGATTCAACAACAAGCTTTAAGGACCACCATATAATCACGTCAGTGTGGCCTCAAGTACAGAAATGAAGGCTGACTTTGATGACTTACCAAATGGTCCCGGAGTGAAGAAGCACAGATACAGCATGGTGTAGCAGGTCTCATTCCCCAGACACATGAAGAACAGCAACGGCTGTGGTGTTATAGCAAGAAAAAATGTCAATCTGGAAACTAAATGTAGTATTTTATGTGCCATCAATCATCTTTGATCTATCTATCTATCTATGGCAATCACTCGATATCTAAATAAATTATTTGCAATCAGATACAGATTCATGTACAGATATACAGATAGAGATTTTCTGAGTAGGATGACCGTGTCAGTCCCTACACCTGAGTGAGGGTCACAGTTGACACGGTGGCCTTCGTCTTTGATACACCATTGGCATCTATATTACTGAATCAATCATGCAGTAGAACTTTTTCCTATGATGGACAAAAAATTCATCAGGCTACAGTAAGTTGCAAGATGTAACGTTATATAACTGTATAATTTTTTGTTGTGCATTTTGAAAAATACTGGCCACCATTTCACTTTAATTAATAATTTTTCATGGCTATTTCAATTTATTAAAACACTGAAAGTCATTGAAGAGGTTCATCAGTCACTTTACAGTTAATTAACAGTTAATTAGAAATTCTTCGATCAGTGACTGTATTTTTGTAAGGTAGATTACGTACCTCCAAATTTTCGGTGTCGACTGTACACCTTGATGGACACCGAAAATTTGGAGGTACGTAATCTACCTTTCAAAAATACAGTCACTGATCGAAGAATTTCTACTAAGTGAAAGCCGTGTTACTCAATGCGCATAGAAAGCATGTTAAAAGGTCCATGCAGATTTTTTTAGACTTACCCGTGAAGTATAGTAGAGCTTCAGAATAGAGCTCCCATAATCTACAGTCTTGTGGCTGGCAGACTTCAGCAGAGATGTACTACTGTAGGAAGACATAGTCAACTTCAGTTAAAACACAAAACTACATATCATACTCTATAATTATGAGATCTATACAATATTTATCAGGTATGTAACAGGGGGTTTATAGGCGCTACGAACTAACCCGGCCGAGGGGTCTAGACCTTTCAGGCAAATTGAAAGCGTAATGTGCTGTGGACTGGTGCCCAGGTTTGGTCGTGGGTTCAAAAATTCACTAATTAAGAAGAAGATTCACTAATGTGTGGAGATATTTGATTTTGGGTCAAAACAGTATTAATTTAAAGCAGATTGTTCGTCGTATTAGTATCATGATTTTGGATAAAACCACTGTGAACATTTCAAATTTTTATCCAAAATCATAGCAGACAATCTGACCTATAAAAGTGGATCCAGTGGCTGGTGATGTCCAGCGCTGTGCTGATCTGGAACAGGATGGCCCAGCGCGGGTACAGCATGCACAGCACCATCAGCAGCCCGCAGGTCCCCACACGGTCTGTCAGCTGGTCCAGCATGGCTCCAACACGACTCGCTGCATGATGCATTATGGGTAATATGAGCATGAGCAGTGTGATGTATTGTGGGTAATATTTGCCCTGGCACACTTCACATGCACATTTACACAACCCACGATGCATCACACTGCATATGCACATTTACCCTACTCACAATGCGTCACACTTCACATGCACATTTACCCTACTCACAATACATGATATTGTGCAGTGTGATGTATTTTGTTTGCTTAATGTATTCTGGGTAATATGTCAAAGTATGAAGTGTGCATGTGCAGTGTGATGCACTGTGGGTAGGGTAAATGTGCATGTGCAGTGTGTTGCATTGTGGGTAGGGTAAATTTGCATGTGCAGTGTGATGCATTGTGGGTAGGGTAAATGTGCATGTGCAGTGTGATGCATTGTGGGTAGGGTAAATCTGCATGTGCAGTGTGTTGCATTGTGGGTAGGGTAAATTTGCATGTGCAGTGTGATGCATTGTGGGTAGGGTAAATGTGCATGTGCAGTGTGATGCATTGTGGGTAGGGTAAATTTGCATGTGCAGTGTGATGCATTGTGGGTAGGGTAAATGTGCATGTGAAGTGTGATGCGTTGTGGGTAGGGTAAATGTGCATGTGAAGCATGATGCATTATGGGTAGTATGAACTGTGCATGTGCAATATGATGCATTGTGGGTGACATGTCAAAGTTGAATGCCAGGCAGTGAGAATAAATGAGTTTACATGCAGTAAAAATGGAACAAGCAGCTAGATTTTAGGAACATTGCTTCATGATATTTGTTGATAAAAGAATTGAGGAAAACTGTACTCACATTGGTTGAGTGAGCGTGCAGCATACCCATCCACAGCATCTAACATGCCACTTGTGATGTAGCATATGGAGCCAATAATGGGGTCGTATGGCATGTAATAAAAGGCTACCAATGCCAGGATGATGCGGCCATAACCTGAGGAATAAAGAGAAATTGTAGAACTGTAGTGTGGGATGGCTGCAGAGACCCGGATAATTGTTACATGTCATTGCTGGTCCAAAATATAATGTAAAGCATTGCCAGGATCCCCCCATACAGACCCTCTTTAATGTGCCTGCCATTGTAAAATTAGCATAAAATGTCCTAATGCATGCATTTAGTATAATTCAATCCATTTCCAAATTATTGTCTTACAAATTACATGTTAATTGGAGATTCTGAACCAGATTCAACAAGTTGGGGGGTAGCAGAAACATTCAGCAACTGATTGACAATACGTATGTGACAATAAGGCATTAATAATGTTATGACTAGCATATTATCTGTAACGTTAAGTCTAAATGGGCCATCATTTGCATCCAGAGATTCAAAGATTAATGTGGAAAAAAATAATCAAAGCATAATCTCAGTGGCATTGATAAATCAGATCAAGTCACATAAGTCACATACACTACATCAGTTACCTTAAAAATTATACAGCATCTGCATCTCTGAGCATCTGGACCAAGCAGTAAAATATTATTGGAAATTGCGGGGAAAATTTATGACGACCGACCCAGTTTCTAAATCTTTTCAACCTTACCTATTAGGTTGGGGACAAAAAGAAATATGTTCTCCTTTGGTTGGTCAGGCATGATGATGGAGAGATGAGAAGAGAGAAGAGAGGATGAAGAAGATGAGGAGGATGGTCCACTGAGACAAGACACTGCAGGCAGCTGCTCCAGATTCTGCTGCCTTCAACTGGCCTCATCCACTGACATCACTTGTTGTTGCTTTCCCACCTCAACCTTTCACCTTTTGGGAGCAATTAAAATTTCATATCCACCCTATATCCTAAACAAATTTCATTGTTTGCGATACGTGCATCGTTTAATTGTGAAAAAGAATGTCATTTTGTGATTTTAGTATTTTTGGAGAGAAAATTTGTGGTTTCCTTGCCTTCAAATTACCCATCGTGCATTGCGAGCGCATGCGCTGAAGCCAAATAACAAGAGTAACTATGGCGCTCCTGTCTTTGGAAAATGGACATGAATTCAGTGGGAAAAGGCCCTAAAGAAAGGCACATAGCGTTTCTGTTAGCTGATGCACTTCGACAAGAAGATGCAGAGAAGTTCCTAGAAGTTTACGACACTGTTATTCCTCAGGAAATGCCCCTTGATGAGGTAAGAAGCGGTGGGTTTCGCCGGCCCTCTACCGGCCGAAGCATCCACCTGACAGTGCAAAATTCTTGACATTGCGATCGTTGCGGCACGCTTTCCAGCGCCGTTTTCCGTCGTTTGACACTAAAATTTCCTTCTTCTCCTTAACATTGTCTCAGACTTTCTCACAAACACTTATTCGAAGAGATTTGAGGCGATGAAAGTGGTGCTTTTCTTTGCAAAGCTGCGCCACATGTGAGTGCAAAAATGTACGCTCTTCCATCCATGGCGCCTTTTCTCTGACCAAAGTCGAACGATATATATCTCGTCATGATTCATCGTGATGATGGGGCGGGCGCGGGAAAAAAAGAGGTACGGCACTGAGCCTCAGATTGTAAAGCTGGAGGGTCCAGGTTTTGAACTAAAAAGGCTACCAGAGTTGTCAGTATTTGAAGGTTCCAGAAATTGTAAAATTATAGTCTTGGCAACACACATGTCATGTCAAAACGTGGGCACACTAGCGACTGCCGTTAGCCTGTAGGCATAAATTTTACACCGTAGTTGAGTTCACTCCATAGGTTTATGCCAGTATTATGCAGTTTGTGCCGACGCATATGATTATATTCTCGGTAAGATATTCCTAGCGTTTTTGCTGGTGGTAACACTTGACACGAGTTGTGTGTGCAGGTCACAGAACACTTTCCTATTCACGATTTTGGTTTTGAAGTTACTTCATATATATTGTTGTGTCAACATACATGTGGTTAAGGTTGAGGTTTTCTTCTAAGAATAGAAATGGTATAGAAGAAGTTTAATATTTCAGCGTCTTGTTCATGAACCACAATTGAGAATTAAAGAATTTGTTTACTCATTTGCACCAAAACATTAACGCCAATAATTATTTGCATTGTGTTTGGTACTTTCAGTTACTAGTACTTTCATTATGTTGATGTGTTTTCAGTCATTAGAAGCAATGTTGTAAATTAAATGCAGGCTTGTAAATGTGACAAAATTTAATTACTTTCAGTTACTTTTGTTATGTTGATTTGTTTTTAGTACTATAATTTAGAAACAATGTTGTAAATGAAATGCAGGCTTGTCAATGTGACAAAATTCTAGGCAAACCATATTTGGTCATATCATGACTCATACTATAGTCATAGCATTTTGATTCGCCCCTCGATTTTTGCAAAAAAAATTATCGTGCATTGCCAGCACATCACCATTCACCACCCACGCTTAGATTCAAATATAGGGTTGGCGTGGGAGGAACTATTACATTACAGTATATGGGTCGTTTCTTTGCCAATCTCCTGTTCAATTTGCCAAAACTGGTAATTAATTTTATGAAAAATAATCGTAAAAAAATATATTCATACCTATAGCAATGTCTGGTAGGACATAGCACCTGTTTTGGAGTATACTAAGTTGTTACTTTCAGGTGATCCATGAATTGAGATGTTATTTTTTGAATATGTTTATAATTAAATTCGTGACCATTGCAGAAGTTAAGTCTGTTTTGATCCTGTGCATATTAAACTACATTTGTAACTTAACCCTCAACCTGCTAAAGTAGCCATTTGGCACCAAATGAAGTACTGGTTTTATAATGCTGGTAACCCACCCCTAACAGGACTCAAAATTCATTTTTTGGAATAGGTGCACTGGTGCACCCAACCTAACAAATTGGGTGCACAAAATTTTCTGTGGGTGCACTATATAAGATAAAATAAGTAGAATATCAGCGAAAACTAATTATGTTTTGTTTCTAAAGAAAAGTACTACAAGAATGATTTTACTATTTTTCTGACACTTAGATGTTAAGAATATGCTAAATACTAGTACTACTCTAAATTTAACATCTTGACATATACTTAAAGTAAACCTACACAAAAACTTACACAAAACATTTGGGTGCCCAGCTCTAAATTTGGGTGCACTAAGGTGCACATGCACCCAGTATTTTGAGCCTTGCCTAAAGATAGGCATGCGTACATGACTTACATGTACATGTGCACGTAAACTGTATGTGCTGCAATTTGCGATATGCACACAGTATTATAATTTCTGTATGCATATAGATAGCATAATTGCCATGTGTTTGGTGAAACGTCTGAGAGCACACCTTTCATGGCTTTATAGAAAGCGACAGAAAGTTACGTTCATTCTGTAAGAAAAGGACATTCTATATCCCTTTTTACTATGTCACTTTGTTCCATTTCCATGGATAGTCAATGAAGAATATTAAGAAAAATTGTATATTGTATAGCTTGACAAAAATTAAGGGCCACTGTTATGTGTTGTATTGCCACATTGTGGGGAATAATATTATGCGCAGATTCAAGTCTATAAATAGAAGAATTCTGTTGTGCACCCAGGATGTTCTGTTTATACATAAATCTGTGTTAAGAGGGATTTATTTAGGTTGTCAACATCATATATCTATATGTTATTATTAATCTTTTATGTATACATCATGAAAAGTTGCAAGGTAAAATCATCATCATTTAGAGATTCATTGTTTCTGTTTGTAAGTACTTTCGGATTAAGATTAACAGCTTAAGATGTCCTTAATCTTAATGAATAGTAAAGATGCATGGTACAAAATAAAAGACAACCTTAACGTTTGTATATATTAAAGCTGACACGGGATCATTCACTCACTGTAAATCAGCTCCAGGTATAGACACTTTGATATAGTATTGTGAATTAGGAAAACAAATTCAAAGTTGCTTTGTATCAGGGTGATTTGGAAGTGTTTTCAGGGCTCCAAATAATGAGTGCACATATTATGATTTATGTTCACCCAAAACTAGAGCTGTGTGCCTATTTTTTGACTGAGTACACTGGTATAGTTGTATACCTAGATATTTGTAAAGTTAAGGTACAGCAGCATATATAATATAGTATAAAGCAATGTGTTATAAAATTCTTGACTTTTGACTTTGAGTGTCAGAAAAGATATCATACTTTTAAAGGTAGCTCTATAGAATTTCAGATTCTAGCAAAGATTCAGATTCTGTAAATAGGTTTTGCTGACATTTTTATGTTGTGGACCCAAAATTGTTTCTGTGCATTTAAATCTTTATATTAGCACTAGTGCACTCAGAAAATAAATTTTGAGCCCTGGTTTTTCATAACCCTGTAACGTTGGGCATACATGTCTGCTTTAATTCAAGCAAGGTCGTGTTCCGTCTCTTTTATACCCTGGCCCAGAGCTGCCCCCTGCTGGGCTACTGTAGCTGCAAAGGTCAACCGACAGCCAAATTGCTTTGCAGTGCCTCAATTGACGATTGCATCAGCATAGCAACTACCCTTAGTACTGCTCTAAAAGTCTGAATAGCAATTATTAGTATTATATGGCTTTTACTTTTAGGCTGAATTCATAGGTGGGCGTTTGCAGGCCAACAAAGCTGTAAAACATGTTTTATAGTACTACAATAAAAGGTATATTGATGAAGGTTAGACATCCAAGTAAACGATAGCCACAGACAATTCTACTACATACAAATTGTTCTAGAAAAACAGTATTTATGGAATATCTGGGAATGATCTCTGTAAATTTATCCAGTAGTAGAGTTTGAATTATTTAAGAGTACTATAAAAGCTTGCTTTACACTGATAAATTACATAGTTACTTTGAGTGACAACAAATCCATCCATCTAAAAAAACGTTTTCTTTTTCTGATGAATCAAAGGTACTATAAGTAATTAGTTAGTTAAACTAACTGTAAATTAATGTAACTCAGAGAAAATGTTTAAGACATCTGGCACATGTGCCCGAGTATCACTGACAACGCAGCATTACTGCAGAGGTTGTCCTACGTTTCTTGATTTGTTGCTTTAAGGTGATCAATGCCGGCTGGAACATCTCATGCAGAATTGAGTTCAAGTGGCTTTAAGTGGAGGATGTCAAGTTCCTGTATATCTAATACCATTAAAACCATACATCTCAAATCCACGTACATGTAGGGTTGAATGCAAAGGGCTGAAAGAGTAACAGGATCTTCCAAGTTGGGACTTGATCGCTCAGACATGAAATCTTTGGACAGAAATCATTTATTTGGTACATTATTTGACAGACTGATTCTTCATTCACACGATTCTTGGCAGAGACGCACAGTATACTCATTCACTGTCACAATGCACCACCCAAAGTCCTTGGAAATGTACAAAAGGAGACTATATGTTTATAAAAGGCATCTTCTTCTACTAAATGTATTCAGGGGTCTCCCCAGAAATTCTTACGTAAGAGGTGCTCCCTAATTCGGTTTATGAAAAATCAGGGAATTTTTGTGGAAATTCTAAGAGAAAACTAAATTTGAAAATTTTGGGAGAGGTGCTAGGATTTAGAGCAAAGGGGGAGCACCCTTGCTTCATTGCTTGGGGAGAGCCCCAGTACTAGTATTCCTTTAACATCTCAACATACATATATATGTACACAGATGTTAACCATATTAATTATATTTATATAAAAAGAAAGTATGCTTCTCTAAAGTTTAAGGGAATGTAGTTCTGACTTAGACTTGAAAATCTGAACTCAGGTAAATATAGAAATTAACATTCTGTTTTGGTGCCTCATATCATAGTAGTCAGTAGAATAACTTATCAAAGCTATACGACCCAATGGTAATGTCATGATCTGGGTACGTGGGCTGATCTTAATTTTATTCTGGTTGACATATTATGGGTGCAGCCCTCCAGACAGCAATACTTGATAGTGAAACAGTGGGCAACATTTTCAATATATTTCAGTTGAGAAACTTTGCATCTTAATATATACTTATTACATAGAAGTGTAATTTTGCTAAAATATGCTACATATATATTATGATAATGCAAACTATACAAAATCCATGAGAATTAAAAGGAGCCTTTTGATATTTTTTTTCTCTCAGTATTAATTATACTTGTACAAGGATTTACGTGTACTGAGAAACTGATGATTAGTAACTTCCAATAAGCACAATAATAACTTAAGCAATTATTATATAGCATATATTAGCATGCACAGACCTATTTTACTGTTATATTATGTAGGTACCGGTATATTGCATTGAAACTGTAGCTCTAATTTAAAGATCTGTCCTGTATTTGATTTTTCACCTTGTTCTTCTCACATTAAGGAGTGACTCTTGTTCTCTGTTTTTTCTCCTGTTTTTCCTCCCAGCTATCCTGGTGTGGTGTGTGCAGTGTTGAGTTTGGCGGGGGTGTGGGTGCCCATCTTTACATGCCACCGTTGTTCTGTCTTCACTACTAGGTAGATCACATCAAGGAACGTGCACGAGAGTTGTCCGAACTCCCCGAGGAAATCTTTCAGCAGGAATTCAGGCTTGTCAAACAATCCCTGACCCCGGAGAGTGGTCAGCCCCAAGCTGGTCAATCTGGGGGCGGTCAGTCGACTGACCTTCCCGAGGAATATTACCAACGCAAGCGCCGCCTGCAAAAACGCCCGCCCCAAGGTTGTAGCTCGGTGTCGACGGGAGGTAACAATACGGATAACCCAGGGCAGACGGGCCAGACAGGGACTTGTGGCCAAGCCCTGAAACATGCAAAAGTCGACGTCCTAGAAAAGATAGCAAAAACAACATCCGCACTCGCGGCTCTTCAGTCAGCTACCACCGAGTTAACGGTCATTCAAGAATCTGGGATCGTAGCCGACGATCAAGAAAAGGAAGAACAAGAATTGTCTGCTACTCCTAAACACCCCGTGTCCACGCGAGCCACACTTCCCTCACTTTCACAGTTGTATAAAACGGCCGAGAAACTAAAAGCTTCAAGCGAGCAGCTACGAAAAATGTGGGAAAACAGGGAAAGCGAGAAGCCGCCATTCGGATACCCTCCCGACGCTACCAGTATTACAAAATCCGCCATGACTCTCTTGAACAAGGGAGAGACTAAAGAGGGGGATACGAGTTCACTTGATGCAATCTGCAGTACCGGGCTGGAACGCCGGGGGTCCCTGGACAGTGGAAAGGATGATGATAGGCAGTATGAGTCGAGCGGGAGCAGGAGAAGCAGTGTTTCGCAAGGCGGTCGCAAAAAGAAGAAAAAGAAGAAGAAGGCTAATAAAAGTGAGTCCCTTCGTGTGGCAGCTAAATTTCGGGAACATTGTTTCATATCATCCAGCTTCTTTTCCCCGCAAAGGCCATGGTTTTGTTTGGAGATGTGCATGCACTTGTCCTAACCCTTTACCTTTGCACCATGTTGAATGGATTTGTCACATTCCTTTAACTTTTTATTTTTCAAAACAAACAATTCCATAATTTGTCTTGACACAATAAATTAGATGAGAAAGTGCATTAGAAAATTAACTGATGCATAAAATTACCAGCATTTCTGTTATTTTGGAATGTATTTGAAATCTGAAATGGTCATCTAGTACAACTGTCATTTAGCTTACGTAATTATAACACATGTACGTCGATGAAGGTTAGACATCCAGGTAATACGATATGCCAAAAAACAGTTACTCAAGCAATTTTCAAAATCATATCCAGTTGCTTGAGTAACTGTTTTTTGGCATATAACACATGTACACAAGCAAAATACATTCTACCGGATTATGACTCTGTATTAACAGTTTCTTTGTATACATGTATGATCATAATTCATAAACCGTATTTGTGACTTCTTAGAGGTGATATATTTTTATGACCTGGTTGCACTTTCAATGACTGTCCTCCATCCTTTATTTTGCCCTGTGATCTTCGTCTTTTCAAAAGAGTCAATAGATAGTATTTATTCCATAACTTAGAGGAAATGTCGATGCATTGATAAAATGTGTCTTGAAGTACAACAGCTAACTATTCAATAGTACCTTTACATGCTACATAACCCTGTAACTTAGTGTAAGCAGTACATAAAGCTGCTTCAGCAGGCAGGAGGTTAATGTTTGCTGCCACTGTCTATTTGTTCTAACAGTTAACGTCTGTATTTCTTCAGGTGGAAAGCAACAGTCTGTGGGTGCCTTAAAGTCAGCCTCATCAGAATGTTCTATAGACAGTGATAGTGGGACCATAAACAGCCAAGATGGGGCTAGCTCCAACTCAATCGACAGCGGTAAGAGCAATGCTTCTAACCCCGAAAAGAAGGAAACAACAGATCCTATTGTTATAGAAAAAACACAAGAGAACCCCGAAAAATTAACTCTTACCAGTAACGGACTCTCGAAGGACATGGTGAAGGGAAATGCCGCGCGGATCGGGAGCGAGATAATGAACGTACAGCAGCAAAATTCTACCGAAATTCCTCTGACTCCGGGAACTATGCAAGATGGAACAACGAAACCCGTAGGACAGTCGGCTTCAAGTCCTTGGGGAGGGGGAATGACCTACGCTAGTAAACTAAAAGCAGGGCTAGAGAAGTTTCGCGAGGGGGAGAACCCTAGCTTGAACAAAGACGCCATGGACGGAGAGGGGAGTGGGAACATTGTCTTGCCAGAGGGAAGTGATGTGATTGTGCCAAACGGATTACCGGTGGTGGAAATTTGTCTGAAGGAAGACGAGTCGACGCCTCGCGAGGCGGGGGGCGCGTACGATAATGCCAAAAGCCAGGAGGGAGAGGGTTGTCCCCACCCTGCCAATCTGGAAAAGAACGTTACACAGAGCAAAGGGACTGGAAAGGTCGACCTTGCGGAGGTCAAGGGGCCCTCAGAAGCCTACGCGAGGAAGGTGTGCACGCGTGCCACCCCCTTAGGCGCGGTGTCGTGTTCGGAAACACTCGGGAAGGAGGACTCCTCCCTTCAGGCCATCCTTCTCAACTTTGAAAACAGTCCGTTTCAGTTTCTCTCGCCGTCGGAAGTGTTTGATGGACCCAACAACGTTAACGCGGACAGTGCAATCCAAGGTAGTAATGAATCGGAGGACATGTCGGCTGCGGGGGACGCGGGGAAGGTACACGTGAGGGTGAGCAGGGATTTCTCCCTCACACCCCCCGAGGTCCCCCAGTACGAGTTTGGACTGGGGAATACTGTCTTGCCAGGTAGTATAGGTGTAGTCATGATGGACAATGCTGCTGTAAAAAATGTAGACATGACCAAAGGGAACTACGTCACACACAAAGAGGACCCTGGGGTACACACGGAGAGACCCCCCGTTCCCTCTGTACCTGAGGAAATAACATACAACTTTCAGGAGGCTGCCAACTACTTGTACAGAGGTAAGGGATTCAAGCTTTGTTTCATCACTTTTGTCATTGCTAAAACTATCTTGAAATACATTTTTGCACACCTGCACCACTCAGAATTTAGGAGTATGTGTTGTAAGCATACTAAATACTGTAAGAAACCATTGCCATTTCTCAATTACTTAACTATTCCTGTTTTGTTTTCTAGAATGGGAACAAACCTTTAAGCAGTGTCAAGAAGGTTAGTATGTATAATTTTTATCAATTGATAAGTCCCTGTTAAGTCAAGAAAAATAGATGTCTTTTGTTTAAAAAATGTAAATGTTTAAGTTTTGTGGTAAAGCAAAATTGTAGGCTGTATTAACCCTCTCACTGTTGCATAACCATGTAAGCAATTCACTATCCTTTTGCATGTGGTAGCCTAAGCTCTGTCATGAAAGTATGATTTTCAATTCAATCAATTTGTCAAATCAAAATCTTCCATGCTTGTATTTTTCCCCAGATCCAACAAAAGTGCAGTACTACAAGAGCGGGCTTTCAGCGTAGCTACGGTATAAACCAAGGAAACAACAACAGTCTACGCTTCAAAATCGCCATTCAAATCAAAAATCATTACATACACTTTCCTTCAGAGAAGAGACCCACGGAGTGAGTGTTACATGGAGACATTTCTGCGTGACTGTATGTCACATTCACAGAGAGCAACACGCTAGCAAGTGTGGTAAACTTGTTAGGCCTCAATAACAATGAATCGGGAATGCTCTTTTCCATCAAGGACTATAACCGGGCTAGAGACTACCACCACTACACAGTAGATAGTTATGAACATTGTTAGCTAAGTATAGCTGATGAACAGCATCTACCCATTATTACAAAGACTGGATGGGGAAAATCTTTGGACAACATAACACGTACCATACGCATGAGCCTGCTAAGGCTCAACAGCATCGGAAGTGAAATTTAACGAAAAACAAGAAAAAAAAAGCTGACAAGACTCACTGACGAGCAACTTGGATCCAGTATAGCCATTTTACAACTAAGTTACTGCAGAGTTACTGCCGTGGCTATGGAGAGGGTATGCTAATAATTGTGACAACTGGTTTAATCATTCAGTGCTGGGGAGGTGTACCATTAACGACTTTTCTTGATTTTTGCTCCATCGAAAAGGAGGAATCCTTAAAACCTGCCAATTTTAAAGGGTTTTTCGGTGTTACCTGTTGGAGTTTCTGTTCAACAAACATTCTGCCATGCAATTTAATAGGCAGAACGTTTACTAAGCGCTTTCATGTGCAAAGAACTACCATATGTAAGTTTTAAACTACAGATTTTTGCAGTACTAGTCATAACAGATAGGAGGAGCTTTTGTACTCATTACACACTATCCTGAAGTACTGTTGTGTGAGTGGATGTCCTGTACAGGTAGCTTTGAGCAGCATTTCAATCTGGACGCAGTTTGAACATCACAAACCAAAGTTGGGCTTGTACCCATAATGTACATTGTAAGTAAATAGTACCAGCTAAAGCTGTCTTTGCAGAAGGTTAAGTTTTGTATCAAAATCTCTGAGAAAAAAAAAGAAAACAAAGAACAAAAATGTGCTGTAAAACAGTGTTAGGGAATAATATGTTTCAAACATGACAAATATCTAAAGTTTTATGCAGCTATATGAAGAATTTTTGTAAGTAAACTGTACATAATTGTTCAAAGGTTAGGAAAATTGTTGAATGTTTTCAGCCCTGTAATATTTCATAACTCAAGAAACTCCAACAAAATTGAAGGAATCAGGCATTTACCTAGATAAATGACATGCTTTCTGAGCCATAGTGTAAAAAGAAAAAGGATGATATGCATTTCACTTTTAGTCCATTTCTCTTTGCAATTATTAAGTGTTCAAGCACACAATAGGCTGCATCATCCACAATATTTCAACATTTTCATGAGTTTCAGCATTGTACTAGTTGTTTAGGTTAATTGTAATTCGTCATTCTTCCACAGTAATCATTGTAAGTATATGGAAACTATTTGTATTGAATCATTTGAAGGTTAAAGAAAAAACAGTATACTGGTGCCATGTGAAAGAAATCAACGGTTTACCTCTATTATTAACTTTGTCCCTCCCTTGCACCAATGTTTTGTTCAAATTATTGAACAAATCTTGTGTCAACTGAACGTAATTTAAAAAAAGAACCTTTTCGACCTTGATAGTCCAAAGCCCTGCCCACCCATCAAAACATGTAAGTACAGAGTAAAAACATAAAAATGCAACATGTGACAGACATGCAGCCACTCTCATTGGTCAAACTGCTAATTGCTGTTCCCTCATTGGTCAAACCACTAATGGCAGTTCATTGGTCAAACTGCTAATTGCTGTTCTCTCATTGGTCAAACCACTAATGGCAGTTCATTGGTTGAACTGCTAATTGTGATTGACAGAATTTTGAAGCGTCTATGGCTGTAAAGGTGACACTGTTAGAAGTTTAAAATTACAGAGAATTTTTGGAAAATTTCTGCCCACTCCCCAAAAAAAGGCTTTTTATGTATAAAATCCAGTAAGAAAATGAGTCCGTGCGAGAAAAAAGCCTTTCAGACATCTACCAACTGCAGTAAAATTGTTCCTTGCCAGATAAAGCATTGAAAATCTAAGATGATGCATCTCATCTGCAGGATTTGGGGATGCAATTCAAAAGGGGCAAAATATATAAGCATGCTGTTTTAGCTGGTACCACTTGGACACTATAACCGGCCCTAGATACTCCCTGAAATGGGATGGCTCCTTGTGTATATAAATGAAAAAGGCCAACAATCAATGCCCATAGCACAGCAGACTGATAGAGTAGGTTAAAATAGATACACGGCACCATTTAAAACATTTGTCATCGAAAACTAGATGATTGCACGAGGGAGGGAATGAAATGAGCTGGCAAGAAGGAATCGCAATGTCTCACCGTCTTTTTGAAATGCTTTGTAAAGCCACCCAGCCCTACACGTCTTTCAAAAGCATTGGATTCAAAACAACGCATGATTCAAATAGTGAAGTGAGAAACTTAACTCATTATAAAGTACTTTTGGTTGAAGCTGAAGTTGTTTTTGAGGATGCTCCTAAATCTGATACTATGAGTTTGTAATTAGTGTAACGTCAAGCTAATTTGAACCTGGTCTTGTGTAGCACATCAGAATGGACTGCGCCTGTGTGAAACTACATAATATATTGTGCATCGCACTTCAGCAGAATGTCTTGTTTAAGGTCATATTCGCATATTTAAGGATGACATCTTCTATAGTTTTCAAATGTTGTGTTGGTAAAAGTATCGTCTGTAACATGAAAACGTTTGAAGTAATGCTTACCAAACATCCACTGGAAACTCTGAAAAATTTGGGTGCAGTACGTTCTGCTGACATGCTGTCTTGTGTTCTAGTGAAAGTCCCCCCCTCCTAATGTAATAACTTAATGCTGCTTGCTCATTGGCCAGAAGGTCAAATATTATAAGACATTGTGAAAAATAGATATGAAAGAATATTTCTATGTAATTTGATATGTTGATACCACCAAATAGCTACCATGGCAAGTGCTGGCATTAAATGAGATTTAACTTTGTAAATTACCTTAATTTGCTTGGCTCAGTGTGGAGGTATTCTGTAAAATGTTTTTTTTTTTTTGTAAGCGTATCTTTTTTGGCCTTTATGCTGAAGTTTACATGTCAAAACAATGCATTATTATTATTGATCAAATAGACCATATATAAGTTAAGCAATTTGTAACTGAACTATGGAAAAAGCCAAGACTTTCAGCTTGTTGCAAGAGAAAAGGACGAAGTTTAAGAATATGTGTTACGTTTATGTACATATTTAAGAATGTTTTTGATGCGGTGCAATACATGATTATATATTCTGTCTCCCAGTTCGTAAAGGTATCCCCTATTATATGTCGATTTAAAAATGATGTTATGCCTGTTATAAGTTGTATGATATGTGGCATGTAGTTAGCAACTTGGGTGGGATGAGTCAGAAATTCTTCCTATATTCAAGACCTATCAACTCTTATACTACAAGACAGTGTTTAACATCAATTATTGGATTGAGTGGATTATAATTGTGTCCTACGAAACTTCGATTGGACTTTGTGTTTAACACTAGATATTAGGGAAAAGGATCCAAATGCAACAAAACTTGATTCAAATGAAATATTTTAGTATTGGAAAAGTGTTTTCAGGCCCAGAAATATTATGATTCCCTGTCAAAAGACTTTTGAAGAGGTTCTGATTGGTTGTGTATTAAACAGTGTAATATAACAGTTCACTCATTTTAGAATGAAGTCTTAAACATATGAGCAAAATGTTAGTTTTGGTCACTTTTTCGACATAAAAACAACGAAAGCAAATCTTGAACAAGTTCACACACAAAAAGAGAAAATATTCAAATAATTTAGCCACCACCTCAATCCAAATGTTAAACATTTTCTCTCGAAGCATAATTTAAACATTGTTCTTGTCATGTAAAACTTCCAACACTGTACCAAATATTTCTGGTGTGTTTTAAGAAGCTATGTCACTCCAGATTGCAGTCATGTACATTGTATAAGTCATCAAAGCTCCACTACATAAGAAATATTAGTAATCCATTGAAATTTGCAGAACTGTGACAAAAATGAGAAAGGTCACTATTATTCAACATGACATGTCAGTTTCTCATAATGCATATAGCTATACGAATTCTCTAGTTATTTTTTGTAGTAAATTGTTGCGTAATATATGACTAAAGTAGGGCTGGAATATAGCTTTTACACCATTGTTACAAGGACATACGGTACATGTATAGTGTAGTAAGGCTAAAAAACTGCACAGCAACTAGTAAATTTGCTGCTGTAAGCCAACATTCTGTGCAAGCTCCCATGCAAAAATTTGGATCTTAGGATCATCCCAAAATACTTTTTTCTTTCAGTTTCGGTAATTTTATTTCTTTGTGTAGGTTATATGGTTCCAGTAGATACAAAATGTATCTGTTAAAATTATGTTTTGTTTGAGTGGTGGCCAGGTCTTTCTAAAGTGTAATCTTTTAACCTTCAACCCGCTAAGGTAGCCATTTTGCACCAGATTTGTATTGATTCCTACGTTAGGGCAGCAGGAAGAAGGTTAAAGAGTGTAGGCTGTGCATTTCCCGTTTTGAAAAAGCATCGAGTGTCACTGCAGTTTGGATCAAACTATCATTTTTTCCAAATTGTCATGTTTTTTTTGTCAACATTTGCATGTTTTTCTACATCGCATCAACAACGAGTTGTTTTATATTAAAATGTAAAATTGTGCATACAATGTTTCAAACCTGTCAACTTTTTGTATCCATTATCTTTGTTGTCACTTCAGTCAGAATTCTGTAATGTACTCATTCCCTGGTCCATACATGTATAACCTGAGCAATTTCTATATTATACGAATTCAATGAAGAAAACAAGAAAGCTATCTTTGTCACTGTCCCAATTCTGTTTCATGTACTATATGTTGCTATCCGAATTTCCTAGTGACATTCTTGTATTTAAGATATTATTTCCAAAACAAAAAGAACATTTGTTACATTTCACTGATCTTCAGTGTATCTAGAATTTGCACCACAAAGCCATTGGAAAATCAGCTTTAAACAAAAATCATAATAGTCAAGGCAATTGTATTGACTTTTATGGTTAAAGTTGTTCCTTGTTACCATGCATGTCTATATGTATATCCATTCTAGTTAATACCAGTTTAAAACTCTGTTATGAATTCATGTGAAACGTCCCAACTTTTGTCA